GATGTTGTGCTAGAGGTACTCACTTGGCCATGCCAAGAAATTTGGAAGACAGCTACTTAGCCAGCTGACTGGAAGAGATCTGTATCTGTACCCATGACAAAGAAAGGTGATCCCATGGAATGCGGAAATTATCAAACAATATCATTAATATCACACGCAAGTATAACCTTGCTGAAGATAATTCAAAAACCATTGGAGCAGTATATAGACAGGGAACTTCCAGAAATGCAAGCTGGATTCAGAAGAGACATGGAATGGGGGACATCATTGCTGATGGCAGATGGATCTTGGCTGAAAGCAAAGAATACTAAAAAGATGTTTACTTGTGTTTTATTGACTATGCAAAAGCACTCAACTGTATAGATCATAACAAATTATGACTGAGAAGGATGGGAATTCCACAACACTTAGTTGTGCTATAAGGAAACTGTACATAGACCAGGAGGCTGCTGTTTGAACAGAACAAGGGGCTACTGCATGGTTTAAAATCAGGAAGGGAGTGCATCAGTGTTGATTCCATTCACCATACTTATTCTATCTGTATGCTGAGCAAATAATTGGAGAAGCTGGACTATATGAAGAAGAGTGTGGCATCAGGATTGGAGGAAGAATCATTAACAACCTGCAAGATGCAGACGACACAACTTTACTTGGTGAAAGTGAGGATAACTTGAAACACTTACTGGTGATGATTAAAAACTACAGTCTGCAGTATGGATTACATCTCAACATAAAGAAAACAAAAATCCTAACAACTGGACCAATAAGCAGCATCATGATAAATGGAAAAAAGACTGAAGTTGTCAATGATTTCACATTACTTGGTTCCACAATCAAAACCAATTGAAGCAGCAGTCAAGACATCAGATGACGTATTGTACTGGGCAAATCTGCTGCTAAAGACCTGTTTAAAGTGCTGAGGGGCAGAGACGTCTCTTTGAAGACTAAGGTGCATCTAACCAAAGCCATGGTATTTTCAATCACCTCATATGCATGTGAGAGCTAGACAATAAATAACAAAGACTGAAGAAGAGTTGATGCTTTTGAGTTGTGGTGTTGGCAAAGAATACTGCCAGAACTAACAAAGCGTCCTGGAAGAAATACAGCAGGAATGCTCTTTGAAAGCAAGAATGGCCAGACTTCATCTCACCTACTTTGGTTATGTTGTCAGAAGGAACCATTTCCTGGAGGAGGATATCACGCTTGGTAAAGGGGAGAGTCAACGAAAAAGGGGAAGGCCCTCAATGAGATGGAATGACACAGTGGCTGCAACAATGGGCTCAGGTGTAGCAAGGATCATGCGACTGGCACAGGACTGGGCAGTGTTTCACTTTGTACATAGGGTCACTATGAGTCAGAGTAGACTCGATGGCACCTAACAACAACAGCATTAAAGAAAGCTACAAAAGGAAGAAAGAAGTGAGGGTTGCAATGCCACCTTGATGAGAAGAAATGCCTGTAGAGGTGAAGAAAAGAAACCAGTGCTTAGCTGTCTGGCCCCCATTTGGGCCCCAATAGTCAAGATTCCAGGACTTCTAGGCTTCTAGCATCCTTCTCTGTCCACGTGAAGGCAACACCAAACCCTGATTTCACATCTTGAGGCCAAAGGCCCACTGATTAATGTAAAAACAGGAAAGCATGCATTGAAGTAAAAAAAAGGATGGCCATAATCAAGTTCTGCTGGAATAAGAGCGCCCTTCCTTAGTGTCGTTACGTTTAGATTCTCGGTTAGTCTACCTAAGTCACTTGACTTAAACAGTAGAAGAATGTGAGGACAGGAGCAGACAACGTTGTATGGGCGGCCTTGCTGGTGTGCAGGGAGTATGTGCTGTGCCTCTACCATGGCACCTTCGGTCGAACAGCTGTTTGTAAACAAGTCATGTGGGACCCCAAACCCTGCATCAGTCTGTTTCAGTTTCATTTCCTTCAGAGGAACACACACATGAGAGCACACATCCATGTCCAATAAAGGAGGCAGACTCAAATTCACTTCCTAAAACAAAGGGACCACAGGGAGTCTTAAATGTAAAGCCCAGGCTGAAATTCTTCTCTTCTATCACTAAAAGTATCTTACAAGCATGACTTTTTGTTTCAATTTGCCTTTCCTGTTGAAATGGGCTCCCCCTTCTACTTTGATTCAATCTCAGCTTTTCAGGGCCAGTGAATTTCAATACAAACACAAATGCCAGGTTGGGAAGGCAGGAGTGGGGAAGAGGCAAGCATCAGGAGGCCAGCAACGGCTTCCCAGCCTCCCCCGCCAAGTTTCTCCAAGGGAACGCTTCCATTTCACTGGGCCCCATCTAATTTGGCCCAGGCATGGAAGGTAAACGGGCTAACTGCTGCCTTCCCAGGCTGGATTATGGGTGCTTCTTAAGAAGTCATCCGTAAAAGCCCACTGGACACTTCCCTTTTATTGATCACACAGCCTGCTGTGAGATCCTCTTAGACCCAGCTGATTTACTCTGATGGATCCTTACGTGGCCCGAGCCTAAGCCTCCACCGACGACAAAGCACTGCACCTATGATCGTTTTCTCAGAAAACGCACCCTTCAGAGCAAACTCAACAAAGCCATTCAGGCAGCCGCCACATGCTGCCCGTAACCAGGCTGCTGAGCCATACTCAAGACGGGGAGGGAGATCCACAGCCTCAAACTTAACCGAAACAGACTTCTCCGGGGTTTGGAGTCCCACTCCATCGGTTTACAAAGAGCTGTTTGACTGAAGGCGCTTTTCTGCCATCATTTTGAACAGGCCCTGTTTTCCATGCATCTTCACCTGCAAGAGCAGCAGAGACCTAGTTTCTAGACCTGGAGAGGTCTGTTTCTTTACTTTCTTAAAGAAGATGCTTTGAGGCAGTGATCTTATCTGACTAAAGTAAGTCGTGACTCGCTGCTCTGCGAGGCTTCCAGCAGCCATTAGACACAGCACATTCCCATCATCAGCATGACAGGATTTAGAAAACTAATTTCCCCACCTACAAACAGCAGTGACATAGGTCCTATTTTATCCCCTCCTCCTTCCCAATGGGGCAGGATAAGATTGCCGGCCACCACCCTTCCTCTGGAAGAGAGCAGTGAGGTAAATGCGTCCTTCTTGGCTGCTGCCAAGCTAAAAGGTGTGTTTCTCCTGGGGAGCAAAGAAAAGGCTAAGGACACAGTGCTAGGCACACATTGGGGGGTACTTTAAATACGGGTTAAATTACTGACATCTCTTTCTTCTGGAGCTTGGGGAAAATATTTAATACAGTGCATTGAATATAATATTGGGTGAAATTTAGTTGTCTCTCTTTAGCAGCTAAGAAAAGCTCTCTGCCTCCCTCCTCCCTCCCACCCCCACCCAGCCAGCAGGTAAGCCTTCCTGACATGCCCTGTTATATATTAACTTCATTCCTGGCTCCTTCTTCTCCCTTTCTCGCCTTATCTTCTCTTTGCCTTTTCTTTCTTATTTTATCTTGCTATAATGTTTATAGCTTTCCAAACTGCTTTCCATCCATCTTGAAACAAGGCAGAGCATAAATAGAGATGTGGTGGCTGTTTTGTTCCCAGACCAAATATTGGGGTCACGTGGTATCATTTAATCATGAGTGTTCTCTTTGAGATGACAGAACTTAACATTGCAATCAATATCTGAAACTGGATTCAGTCCTGGAAAATCCAGAATGCCTGAGCACCCTGCATTTATGAGTTACTCTGTATTCTCAGAATCATGGGGGCCACTACATCCCTGACTGGTCCCATTACATCAGGACCCTCACACTGTCAGATCACATTTCCAACCTGGTTCAGATGATGGGATCCCCGAACCCAAAAATAGGAGACAACTACTAAGCTTAAAAATACTATTGTTAAACAGGGAAAAACATAAGCAACAAATGTGGCTGGCCATCTCTACAAATAGCCTCACTCTAAGATGATGCTTAGAGATGTTTGCTGATGAAAACTGGGATAGCATCCAAATTGAATCAGAGTGAATGAGGTACCCATTTAGGTATCTTATTTAAAACACACTAAGTGCAATCAGCTGAATTGTGCCCTGTCCAAAGGAGAGGGTACCCTGACCAGCAGGCAGAGGCTTGCCATCCACTTAGCAGGTACAGCACCTTACTGTTAGAAATGTGTGCGCTTGGACAATATCAGCCATTAAAACTCATTCAGCGTTCGACGCTCAGGATCCAAGTCCACCAACCAACCTACCAACCGTGACCTGGATTTCTAACTAGACTTCCTCACAGGGGTGAAAAGCGACCCAATTCTAGTTCACTTGACACTGCAGGTCCCACTGTAAGTTGTAAGCTGGCATTTTATACACAAGACTTTTGTGAGTTTTGTTAGGCAACTCTGGTAAATGCACCAAACAAGGTCACATTTTTAGACCTCCAGAAAGAAGCAAAGGCTAAATCCAGTGACATCCTCTAAGTTACTCCTACCCAGGTACCACCCTCCTGCTCAGTAAACTAGACTCTCAGAAAGAGCAGGAGATCCAAGGCCCTTTTAAGGAAAGAATCTCTACTCAGAGGAATTGTTTCCATCCAGATGGTCCCAGTGAATCCAAAAGACATGAAGCAGAATCTACAGCTTTTAAAAGAAAGTGATACAAATGAAGTTAACCACCCCCCTCCCAAAACAAAACAAAACAATAGAAACATAAGTATGGTAGGAAAACTAAGATATAAGATTTGCTGTTTTTTAAGACCCAGTAAATGAACTCTGGCTGAAACTGAAATTTAAAATACAATGTTGATTACTTTAAAAAGAAGGAAAGTACATAAATAAAGGAGGACGTTTTCAAGATCCTAAGGAAACCTCGGACATTGGAGTTGCTCTAGTACAGTAACTCCAGTGAAGGGAAGGCCTGTGGAAGCCAGTTTTCTGCCCACTGAACATCTCTGTGGATCACTTCTCTCTTGCTTAGACTGTCTAAGAGTGAGCCACATCCCTCGGGGCCTCCCTCACCTCATCGGAGGCCACCAGCAACCCAAAGGTACAGCTCCTCAGACGTACCGTGAGAGCCTGGATCTCCTCTTCTGCTTCAGCTGTCGTCTCCTCCAGCTCCGTCTTTGCCTGGCGCAGCTGGCCCTCCAGGGCCGCCCGGGCCGCCTGGAGGGCTGTAAGCTGGGCCTCGCGCTCCTGAAGGGAGAGCTGCAGCTCTGTGAGCTGGCGCTTTAGCTCCAGTTTCTGCTCCTCATGCTCTAGACTGACCTGACAGAAAAAAAACAAACGTTTACATGATCATAACTGAACAGAAGGCCAAGACACAAGCTGCTACTCAATCCGTATCTTAAACTTGGTCTTGGAACCAAATCCATAGCACCCAATTGGGGACAAAGAAAAACACAATAAAAGAGATCTGGCTTCCATGAGTCTCAAAAATCAACAGGAATGAGAACATGTAAGAGGCTATATATAAAAACTAGGCCTTCACTTGCAACTTTTGTGTAAAAAGGGATACAGAGATAAAAGACACTCTCTACAAGTTGGGGAAAGAAGAATGAAAGCCAACCACTACCACATACTGTGGTCAAGTGCAATGGTCAGGGCACGTAGGGATGCAGTGGGAATGGAGCGGAGAGCAGAGAAGTAATTCTGGATTGCTGTGTTGAAGAATTTACAGCAGCAAACCGAGCAAAGAAGAGCAGAAAGAAAATTCCAGCCAGGAGAAGACACCCAGAGGTATAGAGATGAGGGAGGCCTTGGCACATCCATTTAATGACCCAAGAAACACTGACAAGGTCATTTTAGGGACCAGATTCTGTGTTGGGCATTGAGGATGGCAAGCAAGTAAGAGATGTTCACTGCCCTCGGACAGCTTACTATCTAACAGGGACTGCCAATAGGTAAACAAAGTGACAAGGTAAGTAGAGAAGGCTGTGAGGGCACAAAGAAGACACCAAAAAGACATCTAATTCAGCTTCAGAGAGTCAGAGAAGAATCCTTAGAAAAGGTGACATGCAAGTCCCAAAGGCCATAGGGGTAAAGAAACAAAGACTTACAAAAGCTTTAGCCTGGAGAACCAAGAAGATTTAGTCAAATTATCAAGATGGGGCAGGGAAAAAAAGAGGGGATTCCTGGGTCTAGGGGCACAGGAATTAGACAGATGTTAAGACTACGAACTACAAGAGGGAACATGAGAGGAAGAGCCAGTTTGAAGATAAACATGAGAAATTTTGTTGATCTTGAAATGCATGGGGGATATCCAAATGGAGATGTCTAAGGTCTACTGGGACAAATGGGTCAGGACCTCAAGAGAAAGGTCTAGGTTGATTAGCTAGATCTGGGAGCCCTTAACAAGTCAGTAGGAGCCAAAGCCATGGCTGTAGTTTCCCTGTAGTGACAATGATAATGATGGTGGTGACATAATAGCAATGTAGTACTTACTTACAACACACGGGTACTGTGTTAACTCATTTGATCTTCATAATAACCCAAAAAGCTAGGTACTATTAGCACCTCCATTTATAGGTAAACTGGTGCTGAGAAATGAAGGAGCTGAGCAAGTACCACATAACTAAGAATGGCAAGGCTGGCATGCCAACCCAGGTAGTCTGGCTGCAGCGTCCCCACATGTGAGCACAATGCCCTGCTGTCTTATTAAAATGCCAGAAGTCGGAGCAGGATTGGACTCTGCTAGTCTGAACATTCCTAATACTCCCTGACAAAACCAAAGGAGGCAGGTGGCAGCGGGTCAGTGGAGGAGGGAGACCAGGATGATGTAGAGTGAAAGGAAAACCCAGGAGTTCTGTGCAACCCTACCCTCCTTGCTAAAGCATTCACCCTGCACAAGCAGAGAAAAGCTGAGGGACCTCTAAGGTGGATCAGACCCAGGGGGACATGGGCTCTGCCCTCAATCACAGTAGCAGCATCTGGTGAAGAGAAGATGGACAGCCTTCTTATGCTTAACGCTAAACTCCAGAACTCCCGGAGAGAACATACAGCCCTGAGCATGTAAGGAGGCACTTTTCGATTCCTCCACCATCCTTGGGGGGTGCGAGTCAGGGTTAGCTGCACTGACTGCGGGAGAAAACAAGCTTCTCCCTGGGGCATTTTAATTGCCCAGTCATTTGTGGAAAGAAAAGGCAAAAGCAGCCATGTCCCAGCACTGAAAAAAAAATCTCAGTTGTTTACACTGACACCCTTAAGGCTGATGGAAATCTTCTGGTTAAAACTTAACCTGCTTTGGTGAGTGGCCACTGGGGTCTTAAAAGCTTTTGAGCAGCCATCTAAGATGCAACTGTTGGTCTCCTCATGACTGAAGCAAAGAAGAGTGAAGAAAATTAAAGGCATCTGGAAACAATCAGTCCAAAGATATGACGGACCACGAGGACCTCAGCGTTCGTGACCTCGAGACCACAAAAACTAGATGGTGCATCCGATCTGCAACCTATACAACTATGAGACCAGAAGAACTAGATGGTGCCCAGCTACCACTGCCATCCACTTGGAAGGGATGTAGGAGATCCTGCATAGAGAGGGAGAACAATGTGGTACAAAACTCAAAATCATTTGGAGACAAAAAAAAGAAAAAGAAGGTGGGGACCAGGTTTGCTGGTCCAATAGAGCCTGGTGTAACCACTGAGACTATGGCCCCTAGCTGCCCTTCAGGTCTGGAATTGAACCCACAACTGTGGTTTCCAGCCAAACAAAGTACAGGCATGTGAGTTAAACATTTACCTCAAGTAGACACACGCCCTGGAGAGAACAATCATGGGAGAAGGAAGGGCTGCTTATGCACAGGGAGATAGCTCAGGGTGCAGAAGAGTATGAAGGGATGGACACTGGGAGGAGGTAACTATGGGGAGGAAGTGGGAGGGGAGCTGCTGCATTGTAAATTTTGGTCAATGACATGAGACAAAGTATATGTGAACTGCTGTATGAAAAGTGAATTTACGCTGTAAATCTTCACCCAAATCCTAATAAAAATAATTAAAAATAAAAAAAAACTAGATGGTGCCCAAACACCAATATCAACTCAGAAAGGGATCAAAACTGGAGGATGGCAGGAGAAATGTGGAACAAAATTCACAAACACAAAATTGACCAGAATTACTGGTTGGATAGAGACTGGTGTAACCTCCAAGACTGTAGCCCCGGGTTACCCTTTGGGCCTAGAAATGGACTCACTTCCATGGATTGGCTCTCAGCCCAACAGCAGAAAGACCTACATGCAGAACACCTACCCCAAGGTGATACATGCACCTACTCTAGGGAGATACACCCTGTAGATCAGCCAGACCCGACACCAGAAGGGCAGCCTCCACACAGAAGGCAGGCTGCACAGACAGGACAGCACAGGTAAGAAGAGCACAGGGAGGGTGGTCACAGGGAGGGTGGTCACAGGGAGGCGAGGAGAGCTTTTTTATGGTTGAGGGCAGTAATTGGGGCGTGAAATCAGACGTGCATGAACTGCTGAATGTGAAAGAAATTTACTTTGTAAATTGTACCCAAAACACAATATAAATAAATAAATAAACAAACTTCAAGTGTGTGTGGGGGAATTAACCAGAAATAAAAAGGTAGCCTGGATAATAAAAATTAAACAACCATTTAAGGCTTTGGCACAACTCACAACAACAGTTCTCAAAGACCAGGGAGACTAAGATTCACCTGGGAAACTGGTTGAAAATCAAATCCCTGCCGCCTCCCCCCCATACCGTGCCAAGCAGCCCAGGCTGAGGCTCAAGAGCGTGCACTTTAACAGCACTCCAGATGCTCCTGGGGGCAGGGTCCATGCTGAAAGAGCAGGATAATAGCTGTTTCTGTCATTTGGAGAACTGGCTTCACTCAGTGGCTCCAGTACAAATTAAGAAACTCCAGAACAAGAATGATCCCCAAGGTAGAGGCCTCAGACCGCTGTCTCCACGACAGGCTTTTCTTTAAGAGGGTGCATCTACCCTTTGAAGAATTCCATCAGACATGTAAGCACCTGGTCTGCGCGACACGGTGCCTCCACTCCAGGCCTGCACGTCCGGCTCCCCGTGACTGTGCTCCTGAATGCCAGTCCTGCTTCTGCAGGTGCCATGAATATACCCTGCCCAGCAAGCTGGAAGCCCCCAAGATCAGGGGACTGCCATGTCCACCACTGTACAGCCAGCTTACCGGCCGCACACAGCCCACATGTAATAAATGTACAGTGAGTGGGCAGTGCGAGTGTCCACACTGTGCACCCAGCTTACCGGCCGCACACAGCCCGCATGTAATA